CAATTCCTAATTCATACATGGATGTGAAATATGCTATTAAATATGGACGTGATTTTGTAACATTAGATGTAGTCATTAATGGGTTATCTAAAGAATTAAATTTACAAATTCATAATTCCAATAAGGGTGAACCATGTATAGTAGAGGTAGGTCTCCTTTCAGATCAAATAAAAAGAGTAATTTTGGAAATAATAATAATAGTAATAAAAACCAGAATAATAGAAATAAATATAGATCTAAAAGTAGAGGAAACAATAGATCTAGAACTCCAAATAAAGGGGGTAAAATATATTATAATTGTGGTGATCCTAACCATTTTATACGCGAGTGTCCTAAAAAGAAGATTAATAACATTACAAACAGTAATAATAATGGTAGCCAACAACATGTTAATGAGTTAGCCAATATGACATTATTTGATCGAAATTCTGGTGATGTGTTTACTGTTATTGTCGACTGCTTAAATGTGAACAATGTATGTATGAATGAATGGCTTATTGATTCTGGATGCACTTACCATATGACTCGATTAAAATCGATTTTCTGTGAATATAAAACTTTAGAAAATTGCACTGTTTCCATAGTTGATAATAGTGTTTCTAATGTGCTTGGAATTGGTCGTGTAAATTTGAAATTTAACACTGGTTTTGTGCTAAAATTAAATAATGTGAGGCATGTACATGGTTTATCAAATAATATGTTTTCTTGTGTTGCTTTATCAGATTTAGAATTAGAGGAAAAATGGGGAAATGATTGTATGAAAATTACTAGATCTTTAGTTGTGTTTAAAGCTGTAAAACGTAATAATCTACACGTTACTTGTGCTGAACCAAATAATATGCCTGTAAACACAATAAATTCTGTTAAAGAAAATAGTGATTTGTGGCATAAGATATTAGGACATTAAGTAATAAATGATTAGAAATTTCACATAAAAAGGGATCCTTAGGAAATGTAAAATTTAATCCAGTGTCCTTTTATGATAATTGTGTGTATGGTAAACACCATAGGGTCCAATTTCCCCATCCCCCTAGTGAAAAACGTGATTTGTCTAAATTTGTGTTGGATTATTTACATGCTGATGTGTGGGGCCCAGCTAGTAAGCCCACACATGGTGGGACTAGATATTTTTTATCCATTATTGATGATTTGTTTTATAAAAACTTGGGTATTTCTTATGAAGAATAAATCTGATGTGCTTGATGTTTTAAAAAATTGGAAAATTAAAATTGAAAATCAAATTGGAATGAAAATTAAATATCTTAGAACTGATAATGGTTTAGAATTTTGCAACTCCTGGATTCATTTTTTTGTCAAGAAAATGGTATAAATAGACATAGAAATGTCCCCTATACACCCTAGCAAAATGGGGTTGCTGAAAGGATGAACCGGACTCTCTTGGAGTGAGTTCGAAGCCTTTTGGCTTCATCCGGTTTGTCTAAAAAATTCTGGGGGGAAGCTGTTATGACAGCAGCTTATATTGTCAATAGATCACCCTCAATTTCTTTGAACGGTGCTTGTCCCGAATTTAAGTGGACTGGTAGGAAAATTGATTTTTCAAATATTTGGGTGTTTGGGTGTTCTGCTTTTATACGTATTAATAATGACAAATTAGACCCTAGAGCTTAAAAATGTGTTTTCTTGGGTTATTTGGAAGGAGTTAAGGGCTATTGATTATGGTTAAAGTCTAGATCTGGTTTTAAAACTGTTATTAGTAGAGATGTTGTTTTCAAAACGAGTCTGTTTTCGAAAATAATAATCAAAATGAATCTGATTTTGATAATGATAATTAAAATGAGTTAGAAAATTACCAATTGACTAGACATAGGGGTAGAAGAATCCCTAGGTTGCCTACTAGACTTGGTGATTTTGATTTGTCTTCTTTGGCTTTTAGTGTATTTGAGAATTTAGATGGTAATGAACTTAAGACATTTAGGGAGACCATAAATTTTGAAAATAAAAATCAGTGGTTAAAAGCAATGAAAGAAGAAATGGATTCATTGTATGATAATAAAACTTGGTGTTTGGTTCCTAAACCTTCTAATTGTTCTCTTGTTGATTGTAAGTGGATTTATAAAGTTAAACAAGAAGATAATGGAATTAGGTTTAAGGCTAGATAAGTACCTAAGGGTTTTACCCAAAAAGAAGGAAAAAATTATAATGAAATTTTTTCCCCGTTGTCAAATTTACCACTGTTAGAGTAATGTTAGCTCTAGTTGCATTTTATGATTGAGAGCTAAAACAATTAGATGTTAAAACAACCTTTTTATATGGTGAATTATATGAGAAGATTTATATGAAACAACCTGAAGGTTTTGTTGATAAAAATAAAATGAATCATGTTTGTTTGTTAAATAAATCTTTGTATGGTTTAAAACAGTCACCTAGACAATAGAATATTAAATTTGATAATTGTATGAAAAATCTTGATTTTATTAAAAGCAAATTTGATTATTGTTTGTATTTCAAGAGTGTTAAAAACCAAACTATTTTTCTTCTCATTTATGCTGATGATATGTTGATCATTAGTCCATGTGTAAAGCTTATTGATCACATGATTAAGTGCTTATGTGATAATTTTGACTTGAAACTGTTGGGTGATGCCAAAGTAATTTTGGGCATGTGTATCACTAGGAATAGAAAAAATTCAAGACTGTTTTTTAATCAGTCTACTTATATTTCGAAAATAATTAAAAAAATTTCTATGAGTGATGCTAAATCTGTTTCTGTTCCTATGGCTTCTAATTTTGTGTTAAGTAGCGATCAATGTCCCAAATCCGAATATGATTTTGAGTATATGAAACATGTACCATATTCTAATGCAATAGGTTCCATAATGTACTTAATGGTTAGTACTAGGCCAGATTTAGCTTATGCTATTAGTTGTTTAAGTAGGTATATGTCGAATCTTGGTTTAGAACATTGGCATACATTGAACTAAGTTTCTAGATACTTAATTGATACAATAAATGTTGGTCTTGTGTTTGGAAAATATACTGAAAATATTAAACTAGAGGGTTTTGTGGATTCAAATTATGCAAATGATATGGATAGTAGGAAAAGTACTACTTCCTATGTTTTTACTTTGTGTGGAACTTGTATAAGTTGGAAATCTCAATTGGCAAAATATATCCCGTACCTTTTACAAAACTCGCCATTTATGTCCTCCCGTCGCGCGTCATTGTCACGTGGCAGTTGAACCACGCGCTCTCGTGTACGAAATCCACGCGGCATTGTTTGATTGGATGATTATATTAAGATATTAAATTATATATATATTAAATTGCAATTTCACACAGGGGATTAGATTGCAAACTCACCACAAAACCCTTACCTAACTCATTGATGGTGGACTTCTGAAAATCGATCGCATTCAGGTGGAGGAAGTTCATCCAAAATCGATTGCATTCATCTGGGGAGTTTATCTCGCTCGCCAATCTTCCAAAAAAAGGTCTGACTTTGAGACTTTTGTTGTCGGAGGAACAAACATAGCTTCATTCCCGTGCTTTTTTTTTTTGTTCTTGGTGATATGAGTAACGACGAGGATAAGGGCAAAGGCAAGATCGAGGGAAAAAGAATCGACTTTGGGGCACATCATTTATATGGTAAGTATTTTTTGCTTTAATGTCATATAATATTCTTCTTGTGGGGTACCGTTGTCAGAAAACTCCAAATGTTTCGATTCAAACCATGGTCCTACATTAGAAATATTTTATTGTTCTATTTTGGTCCCCCATTCCTTGATTCCGTCGATTTGATACAAATTTGGTCCCCCACTCCATTGTCATATGAAAGTTTCATGCTGATTTTTGTGTTATGCAGAACCCGAAAGTACACATTTGACAGTGTGCTTACATTTCGATGGAGTCTTGTACCACACTCCAATAGCAAAGTAAGTTGGGGGATCCATCAAGAATTTTGATTTCGTGCTAGCTGGAACACTTACTAAGGACTTGACGGAGTTGTTTGGGAGAAATATTAAGATTAACGTTTTGGAGTATAGTAAGTATTACACTATAATTGGTAACAATTTAAAGCTATTAGAGAGTGATGAGGAGTTCCAAGATACAGCTTATGAATCTTTTATTAGTAGAAAATTAGATATTTACGTAGATCTTGGTTGTAATGGGATTGGTCTTGATGATGATGAAGATGGTGAGGATAGTGACTTTACAATGGGTAGTGGAAGTAACGGTAGTGATGATGACATACTTGAGGAGTTTGTGGATATGGACTGTGATGACCTTGGGGATGAATCTGTTCCTGGAGTTGGGGAGACAGTGTTGGGAGAGAACGAGCTTGGAAGTTTGGGAGGGATAACTATTGAGGGTAAAGGAGATGAATTCCCCAGTTTAGATGATGATGGGAAATATAGTGACTTTACAGTGGGCAGTGGAAGTAACGGTAGTGATGATGACATATTTGAGGAGTTTGTGGATATGGACTGTGATGATGAGGGTGAAGGTTATGTTCTTGGAGTTGGGGAGACAGTGTTGGGAGAGGACGAGCTTGGCAACTTGGGAGGGATGACTATTGAGGGTGAAAGAGATGAATTCCCCAGGTTAGATGATTATGGGAAGGATAGCGACTTTACAGTGGGCAGTGGAAGTCATTGTAGTGATGATGACTTATTTGAGGAGTTTGTGGATATGGACTGTGATGACGAGGGTGAAGGAGATGAATTTCCAGGTTTAGATGATTACGATATAGGCCAAGATATGACTAATGAAGTAGTTACTGAAGAGGTAGCGGATTGTGGGGTTAGTGTAGGAGGGAGCGGGCAGCAAAACACTTGTGGATTTGACGTTGGGAATGAAGGATTAGGGGCTGAGAATGATGAAGAGGATACACCAGAGAAGAATCTGGTAGTTGGAAGTGATGAGGAGTAGGAGGAGTTACTTGACTCAGAGGATGAAGGGACTGTGCGTAGGCGGGGCGTGAGCACAACTTTTCCAAAGTTCAATCCACTCGATGTGTACGCACCGAGGTTTGATATAGGGATGATATTTGCAACGAGGGACGAGGTTAAAAGAGCAATACAATCTCATGCAATTGCAGAAAGAAGAAGTGTGGCTTTTACAAAGATTGAGAAGCGCCGGTTGTATGCGAGGTGCAAAGAACCAAATTGTGAGTCGAAAATCAACGCAGTGAAGATGAAGGATGACACTGCTTTCCAAGTAAGTCTATTGCATGCTAAGCATTCGCAGTCATGTCTTCCTTCTTTTAATGTTGCGAATGTTAAGACTTCTTGAGTGAAAAGTTTGCTCATAAATTTAAATGTGATCCGAAGCGCGAGGTACGAGGTTTTAGGAAGGAGATAATGAGAGAATTAAACGTGAGTGTGTCTAAAGATCAGGCCTATAGGGCAAAGAGGCGTGCTTTGGAAAGGATAAGTGGAGATCCTGTTTACCAATACAGTCGTTTTTGGGATTACGTACATGAGTTAAGAAAGAGTAATCCAGGGACCACAGTTGTGTTAGGTGTTGAGACTGATGATGAAGAATCTGTTTTTGACCGTATTTATGTGTGCTATGGAGCTTTAAAAGAAGGATTTAGTGTTGGTTGCAGACCCATAATTGGTGTGGATGGATGCCACTTGAAGGGTATTTACGCTGGTGTCTTACTTACCGCTGTTGGAATTGATCCGAATAATAATCTGTTCTCAATTGCCTTTGCAGTGGTTAGTAGAGAGAATGGTGAAACATGGAGATGGTTCTTGACTTTGTTGAAGAAAGATTTAAGGATCGGGGGTGACAAACAGGTTACATTCATGTCTGATAAGCAAAAAGGGCTGATACAGGCGTTCGATGTTGTATTCCCATGATATGATCACAGATTTTGTGTTAGACACATGCATAACAACTTTGTTAATGCCGGGTTTAAAGAAACTGCACTGAAAAATGCAGTTTGGCGTGCCGCTTTGGCTTCTACGCCGGGAGAATTTCGTCGTCGAATGGATGAGTTGAAAGATCTTGAAAGCGAGACACACAAATGGTTCGACGATAAGCTTGTAGCGCAGTGGAGTCGGAGTCACTTCAAAGTTTATTTGAAGTGTGACATGTTGTTAAACAATGTATGTGAAAGCTTTAATAGTGCGATCCTAGATGCACGAGAGCAACCGATTTTGTCGATGTTGGAGTCAATAAGACAATATCTTATGAAAAGGCTGCAAACGAACAGAGATATGGCTGCGTGTAAATGGAAAAACTTGCGGTTCTGTCCAAATGCATTGAAGCTGCTGGAGAGAAATGTTCGGAGGGTATCTGACTGTATTCCTATAAGTCTGATAATACGCATTATGAAATTTCTTGCTTCGATGTGAGCCAACATGCTATTAATCTTCGGGAAAGAACTTGCGCATGCAGACAATGGCAGCTAAGTGGAATTCCTTGCAAACATGCCATCTCTGCCATCTCTAACCAACGAGAAGAAATTCAAGACTACATCGATGAGTACTACTCCGTACAGACATACATTAAGGTCTATGCTCCTGCCATAATGGCTGTCACCAGTACATATTTTGGGAGGTAACAGGTTTTAATCCACCTAAACCCCCAACAGAAATGAGGTCGGTTGGGAGACCTACCTCATCCAAGCGAAGGGAACGGGATGAACCTGTGAGAAAAATAAGAAAGAAGGCTGGAACTTTAATGTTAAAGAAAAATCAAATGACTGTTCGTTGCAGAGGATGTGGAAACTCTGGACACAATGTTAGAAAATGTCCACAGTCAGTTGAAAACCGTCGGCTTGAAGAATCATCACCACTAATACGAACTATAGCAGTGTGTAGTTATTGTATTATATTTGTGATATACAATCATGCATTGCCTCTTCTTTGTACATATAGGTGGCTGGACAAGACCCTACGACAACATCGGTACAACATAGGCCACGACGGATGTCTGTAAGTACAACCTAACACAATACATAATATATATCATTTCTCTTACAAAGTAAGTTTGAATCTATATTGCATTATTCGAAGACGCGAATTCAAAAAGCTCCAGCAAAGAATGCCGCCAGATCAAGCACCACTGTTCCAGTTAGTCAACCTGAGGTAATTTCCACACAAGAATCCATGATTACGACTCAACCAAAACCTCGAGGCAGACCACGAAAGGAAAAAGCCTTGGAGGCTACAACAGGGACAACAGGGACTCAAAGCCAACAGGTATATACATTTATTAATAAATTTTTACACTCTAACATTGCTAATTACCCAATGATTGTGTAGGGACCATCTATGTGGGAGCAACTGCACGACAAGGGAGCAACCTGCATCCTCCCAACCGTCTCAGCACCAGAACCACCACCACCACGTGTGGATAGGGTCCCAAAACGTGGTAAACAACCAATGTTTACAAGACGGCCATCGACTCGATCGCAAGTTGGGAAGCTATGGATTAAGGGCAGCGGTTCGTGAGCGTGGAGGAGCTCAGTACAGTCCTTTCGACAGAGACAAATGTGAAGTTGTAGTAATGACAAGAATTCTACATTGCAGTGCTTGTTTCTGAACTATGTTTTGGATGACATAGCTCCTTTTTGTTGCATTGCGTTGTGCTACATGTTTTGAATTATGTTAAGGATAGCACACCTTTTGTGAATTGGTGGACAATTTAAGTTTGTGGAATGATATTGTGCTAGCTCTTTTCGATTATACGTAGTAATGCACACGTTATGCATACGTTATGATTTAATTTTTGTTGAAGGAATGCACAGGTGTGTAGGAAAGCACACGTTGTATTGTAGTGATGCAAATGTGTGTAGGAATGCACATGTTGTATTGTAGCAATGCACAAGTTGTATTAATATGATTGAAGTTTAATTACATAACACAAAATATGTAAAAAAACACTTCCACATAAATATATGTTCATAACATACAACAAAATAAAATAGACTTACACTTCCACATAAAGATATGTCCACAACATACAAAAAAATAAAATAGAATTCCACATGCTCCGAACATTAACGGCTCTCGGGATTCCATACAAATACATTCTCTTCGTTCTACCATCCATCAACTGTAATATAAATCAATCCATCAACAAAGCATGTTACTCGATCATCAAAACGCCTGGGCAACCTTTCGCACCATTGTTACGCAGTAGGTAGACGATGAATACCATTCCAACAACAACAGCACTAACTGAATATGCAACATAGAGCCCTCTGTTATTTTTATTTATGAGAAGCACAATCTCCTTCTCTTTTGCATCTAATTTCTTCAATAGCCCAGGAATAACGACCTTACTCCGTAGACAAATTGGAGGGTCTTCCCACTAGAAGTAACCACATCCCCCTCCACCATTTTGAATTAAAAAAAAATTAAATTATCATCTACGAATGTTCATATATGCTTAATTAAACACAAATTTGGAATTATCTTATAATATCTACAAGAGTGGAATCGACGACATGAGTTATCATTGGTCCAAGAACACCTCAATTTTGCCTTCACCCCGCAATGACATTCGACAGATCTAGTAACATCAGAGAAATTGGCGGTGGTTTGAGACATTGGTGTATTTTCCCTTGATATGCCCGCGACGGAAAATAAGGAAGACGGCGATGTCAGTCGGCTTGGAGGAATTGAGGTGGAACACCAAAAAAAATTGAAAAAAATTTGATTACGCTGAAGACGAAGAAGAAGAAGACGCTGAATGAGATTGATATTGTATATATAAGATTTGTAATTTAATCCTTTGGGTTAAATTGCAAATATCCAGGGATCAATCAGCAATTTGTATTTTATAAAATTTAAATAATTAAATATTTATTAAAATTTCAAATACAGGCCACTTACAAAGTGCCACGTGTTACTGGGTCCCGGGTGCGCGTAGAATTGCATGTCACGTGACTGTCATGCGCGACGGGAGGACGTAAATGGCGAGTTTTGTAAAAAGTGCGGGATATATTTTGCCAGGGTAATAGATTGGGGACAAAAGTGATAATGGGGTATAGGTGCGAGATATTTATTGCAATTTTCCTTGTTTATATGTATCTATCTACCTTTCAACCTGCCATGGATGAACTTTTTCAAGCTTCGTCACTTTTTTTTTCAAATCTGAATGAATATTACTTTATTCATCTTTGTTGTGAAACTTAATTTCTTGCAATTATTTGGTAGCTTGTGTTCTTTTTATTTGATTTGGCTAATCTAAGCATATACGAAGATCTGTTCTTTTTTAATGTCTCTAGATTTCCACAATTTAAAACTAGGGTTTAAATAGATGTAATCCTTATTTCTTTACTTTTACTTATATATTTATGAAAAAAAAAAAAAAAACTTATCTTCCTTTGCTTGATATTATTTCCTTTTTTATTTTTTTTATTTTTATTTTTCACTATGTGATATTTTGGCAAATTGGTCTTTACACTTCTTCCAACATAACTGAATTTACTTCTAAAACAATCATCAAATTCGATTTTTACCCTAAGGATATTTACACTATTGATTGATACCCTAGATATGATCCCAATATGTGCTCTTAGTCGCACTTGGTCCATTACAAGAAATTATCAATTTTGTAACGAGATTTTTTCGTTTCTAAATTCACTTCTTCTGTTACTAATGATATTAGAGACGGAACTAGAGATGGAATTACGTTAGCTACGTAAACTTTAGGAACGGAATTCCGTTACAAATATACTATTTTTTTGTAGTGGTCCATTATTATGAATTATTTAAATGCATGCGTTTAATTTTATTAAAGTTCCCATTGAATAGAATCTTTTATATGCTACATACGATATCTTTGTCTACTAGCTGGTAATCAAGTTTATTAGAGGCTGGAGATTGAGGATAGGATTCTCGAAGAGATGGTCTAGCATGCAAAGACAAAAGGTATATTTTAAAAGATCATCCACCAGCCGAAGAAAGCCGACTTGATCCAGTCCTTTGGGCATCAGAGGTTGAGAATATTCCCGGAAATATTAAAATACGTAATGAATGAATTGGAAATAACATATTGAATTGATTGATTCATTTTTGTTTGTGAATTGTTTGGTTGATTTGCCAAAAGAAACATAATGTGAATGGTTGTATAGTTCCCAAAGAAAGTTTGAAATTTTTCATTTTTTTTTTCCACGAAAAAAATAGAATATGGTGGATTATAGTTCATATAGATTTCTTATGAATGTTTATTGTTTTCCGACCAATTGTTAGTTTGAGATTGTAATATTGCATACATATACATAAAATTGTTAATTCAAGATTGCTCTAGGTTTGCACTAATTAATGTGTGTGTTTGGATAGATTATAGGTATATTAGAATTGTAAGAATATTCTGGTAAGATTTTAATAGTGATCATTTACAACTATGACTGAAAGTTTGCGGACAGATTTATGTATAACCAGTAGTCATTACCAATTTTCATGGACGATCGGAAGTTTCACAACTAATTAAATAATGTCTGTGGATATAAATATTGCTGAATACAATCCATATAGTTTCGAGTTGTAAGTACGTATCTGAGGATTATGAAGCAACACACAATTTACTCGGGCCTACTTGATATTCATTCAAAAGAAATCATGAAACATTATAAAAAAAAAAAAAAAAAAAGAAGAAATCATGAATCCAAAGGAGTGCATTGAGTATGTCAATAAAGCATTTTCTATAAAAAAAAAAAAAAAAAAAAAAAAAAAAAAAGACTATGAAGAAAGGAGGTGCTGGGAATAATGACAAAATAACATCTCCGAAATTGAATCTTTGAAGCAATAAGGTGAGTTTATTTATAATCTCCAAACACTCTCCCATTTCCTTCCAAATGGTTTAAGTAAGGGTTGTGATCGTCATTTTCGGAGTAGATTTACTGAAAAAAGAATAAATCAATGTCAATGATAATTTTTTTTTTATTATAAATCGAGGAAAAACTTATTGTAAAATCAAGAATTAATATTTTCTGCCAAGTTCCGTAATAAACTTTTTACAACAATTATTTTAAATAGTTTTGTGCTTTGTTAAAAAAACTATTGGCCCATGCACATATAGATAAAAAGTACAGTGTTTATTTAACTGTATAAAATGATGGGCTTTTATCAATAATAAAATTGTCAATAAAACCAAAAATAAAACAAAAAAACACAAGGAGAATAATCCGCATTCCTACCACCCAATTTCTTGTTTGGTTAATTTCTGGACAATCATCGAAGAGACTGTTCTAGATTTCCTCCCTCTCACTCTCTCGGTCTCACACAGAAAACCCTTTCAGGAGGCGTTGTTCAACTCGACAGTTTACTGAAGGAAGGTTTGCAGCCAGTGTCGACAGGTATGTACGTGTATGTTCATTTGTATCTATCTATCCTAATTTATATTATTAAATAATAAAATTACTAAAATTATATATATTCAACAGACGACCCATACTAACTACCAGAAATTTGACCATTTGTAGCAGTGGAAAAATCCCATACAAATGTTCATTTTTTGACACAATAAGCCTTTTGTGTCGACTTCGTAATGGATTTTGACTGCTACGAAAAATCGAATAACAAAAAGTTCATGTAAGGGCACTTTTCGTAACAAAAGATTGATGGTCAACGCTCGTATTAAGCATGTGCTAAATTTATTTGTAACAAATCAATACATTTTTTTTAACAAAATTATCCGTTACAAAAAAAAATCGGTATTATTGTCCTTCGTCGTGATAATAACCTTTTGTTACCAAATTTTCCATAAAAAAAAGGACATAACAAATCCCTACGTCTCTCTACCTCTCCCCTAATCGCATTAGCATTTTCTCGATCTAGACTGTCGGAACTCTCTCACTCTCGCTTCCCCTCTCCTTCTCCTCCAGCAAGTGTAGAGGTATGTATATATATGTTTTTGTGTATCTAACTATGTTTCAAGTAGTTATGGAGGCACTTTATCGAGCTACGCCTCCTTTTTTCTCTAAATATAAAAGAATGATTAATTTATTGTTTTGTAGTTTAATTTCTTGAAGATATTTGGTCGAATTGTGTTCTTCTTGTTGAATTTGGGTAATATAAACACATACACAGGTGGGTTTTTATTTTTTTTAATATATAGATTTCCACAAATCAAAACTAGGGTTTCAACATATGATCTTTTTACAAGTTAGTTTTTACACTTCTACCGATACATTTAAATTTATTTCTAAAATAATTGTCAAATTTGACTTTTACCCTAAAGATATTCAATTACACTATTGATTGATCCCTGTACACGATAATTCCCAACGTTCGCTCTTGTCGCACTTGCTCTATAATTTTGAGTTTGAGTTATTTATAAAAAGTTTTCATCAAATAGAATGATTTTTATGCTTCGATCTTTTTGTCTGGTAGCCGGTAGTTTTGACACGTTTCATTTATGTTTGACTTTTTTTTATTCTCATACTAGGAATTTTTTTCTTAAAAAAAATCTAACTTTTAGCAACATAATTATCTCATTGATCTTACATAATCCTGTGAATTAAGTAAATAATTATGGTGTAGGTTGCAGTTATGACCCGCTTATGTTTCATGTCTTGTTCTCTTTATCCAACACCTACCCAATGTTTTGACAATCTTTGATCGAATATTACACATTTTGGAAGTATTTTAATCTTTTATGGACTATAAACATTTGTTATGTAGTGTAAAGGTTCAATTATCACAGACTCATTAATTTTTCACAATCACGTTCCAGATACGTAAATAACCCTAATATGGTTCTCTATATTAAACCTTCATTTGAATTTCACGTGTTTAAGAATATAATAATAAAATATAGTTGTAATATTGAAATATACAAGATCAAAGAGAAAAATCTTAATCTTTATTTGGAAGATGTAAGTTTAAAAATTTTCCATTGTTATGTATAAGGTTTACGAATATTCCATCGTCTCATTAGCAAACTATTTTTTTATTTCATAGATAAACAGTAAGCCTTTTTAAATTTTATATTTATTCCCATTTACATTTCTTAAAAGAGTGTGCATGAAGCATTTGCTTTTTAATGAGTTTAGGGTAAATTGTGTAATATGTATGGTTCTATTTTGACTAATCTTGCTTATTAATCATTGAATTTTAATTATTATTATTTACATGTGTCTGATACATGTCTGTTTAGTAATATCATCCCCACGTAGATTCTTCACGTAGGGGAACCTATCTCTCCTATATTATACCTATCAATATTATACATTATAACATACCACAATAATTCAAGTGAGAAACTAAATATAATAAACTAAACATAGCCGAAAAAGAAAAGGACCAAAATTTTCTCAAGCGCAACACATACTTTTGGCACCATTTTAACAAAGTGAATGAGAACTGAAAAATGAGACCCGAACCATATGTGCAGCCTATGGCTCTCAAATCCTAAAATCATCACAAGAAACTGATGACAATAAGCTCACTAATGTGAATTCTCACATCACACATATTTCACTCACAAACAGCCTCACACCACTGGGAAATACACCGGAGAACACTCGTTGAGAACACAAGCAATTGAAACATCACCGGAAAGCATCTAAACCATTCATGATGAAAAACACTGACGGAAAGGATGTAGAGAGAGTGGGAACGCACTTGAATGAGTAAAGATCCGGCGGAGCATGTATTAAAACCAATGAACTGATAGAAACTATCAAAGATAAAAATAAACGGCTCAGATCACCTCGCTAGAGGCAATAGGGCCGTGGGTTGTGCTATTGCAATGGGACTAAATTGTGGGCATCAGTAGAAAAGATCTCCACTGACCTACACGTTGAGAAATGGCCAAAACCCAACAATATTAATGAAGCTAAAACTACTTGGGAAAAATTGCAATAAATATCTCGTACCTATAAGGAATTATTACTCTTGTCTTTTAATTGTCACTCTGAAAAAATATGTCCTACAAGTGTCACTTTCTCGCAATTTTCATCCTCCGTAGCACAAAACCACTCGCACCGACACCGGCAGGACACATGTCACGGTAATTGTATTCGACGCAGGGCTAGAAGATGAAAATTGCAAAAAAAGTGACACATGTGGAATATTATTTGTCAGGGTGACAACTAAAAGACAGTAATAATTGTTTTCGAGTTTAAAGATTAACTTATATTTTTGTAGCGTTTTCGCATTTTTGGGCTCTAAACAACCTAGAACTAATAAAAATTTTCGTTGATTGGCTCGTACGCTTGTTTCGGATGAACCGTGCAATTTTTATTCAATTTCTTGTCTAAAACTTGATTTATATTTTTTTAGCGTTTAAGGATTTTAGGGCCCAAAATGATCTTTGATTGACAAGAAAATATTATTGGTTGATTCGTTTGGTCATTTCGGATTACTCGTGCGAGTCTCGTGTAATTTTAAGTCTAAAATGCCAAACAATCATCAGTCTTTCCTTTTAATTGTCATCATAGCAAAATATATCCTACAAATTTCGTTTTTTGCGATTTTCATCATCCGTAGCAAAATTCCACTCCATGCACGTGAGATTGTATCCATTGTGAACTTCACACGCGGCTAGAGACAAAAATTATGAAAAAGTGATGCATGTGAGATATATTTTATCAAGGTAAAATTAAAAATTAGAGTGATAACTGACTATAGATACAAAATATTTATTGCAATTTTTTCAAACTATTTGATTCTTAAAAATTTTCATCTAGATGCTTTATAAACGCAAAGAGGTCAACAAAAATGAGAAGTGTTGAAAACAAATGTGTACTCACGACATTAATGGAAAAAAGAAAAAGAAAGACCATGATTGCCAACTACAATGATAGGAAGAGCATATGTAGCAATAAAATGATGAAATGTCTTATTGAGTTCATATGCATTGGAACTTAGAAAACATTAATCATTATTTTTGAAGCTCCAATCATATGGACTCAGTAAGTAACTCGATAACATAGAGGAGATTATAATGAACAGAATAAAGAACCAGGATAATGACATAATAGTACTAATATATATATATATATATACTAAAAAATGTGACTAACTCACTCACTATCCTTTGTTACAAAATTATAATGTGGGCATTTGTGCATCTTAAGTTAGTGTAATATTGTAATTGATGACCTGGTAAGGTATCTCTTGAAACCCTGCGAGTTAAAACTAGCTTTGATGACTTATTTAGTATAACTTACCTAATTTGTAGTCAAATGAAACATGCATGCATCTTAATCCATCATAATCAAAATCATTTTTGTTGGGCCTTTTACACATGGTTCGCATAGTGCGACTTGCCATGTCAGACCTAATTCACAGGCTATTAGATTTTGCCGGGATTTACCTAGAGTGCACCTTTGGATAGCGGTTACGGATTCCCACGTTATAAGAAAAATAAATGAATCATTCTTGTTGTATTTGACTTCATCGTAATAGTCATAATCAACCCAAATCAAATGACCCGAAAGCCAGAGAAGCTGGATGAAATCAATAGCTCTTGTACAAATTTGTTATGAATTTTAAGGCTGAAAATACTATATAACCTTATTGTGAAAGTAGAATAAATTTTTGTAGAAATACAACTTATATGATTTTGCCTAAATTCATAGGTCCACCCCAGTGGCGAAAAATGTTTCATTAATAAGAGGGAAGTTCTAAATATAGTTTGTTCCCAATGAACTAACAACGGCGAAATAATTAAACAATCAAATTGTCATTATTATGAGATATTACAACAAATTAATTACAATACGAAAACAAATAATTGGGAACACTACAGAAAGAACAAATAAATCTAGCAGTAATAAGATAGATGATGATTTGTGTCTAGCAACAATCCACCAAAAAAATCTTTACAGCAACAGCCAACATTCAACATCCCATAACTTTATTATTTGCGTGCTATCCTTAGGCTTTGTGTGCACAAACAAGACAGGACTGGTGCTGTCTTGGATGCTCTCGTCCTCCATCTTCATGAAAAAATTATGCCTATCCATCCCAGAAAATATTCAGCGACGAAGTATGAAGGGAATAGCTTCAGAAAATATTAGTGTTCACCTGTACTTAAGGATAAGAAACAGAGATACAGACAGATCGTTGGGTCAGAGCCGAGTCCGACGAGCTCGCTGGCCCTCAAGCAGCGGATCAAGCCTTCTAAATCTTCGTCTACTTCTGAATCAACAACAGCCCAATATCCAAAATCCTTGTAGAGCTTCTCAGGGAAGCCATTTCCCTTATACGGACGCCACACAAACTCTGCTCCAGCTGCATCTATGATGGACAATAAATTCTCAGTTTTTTCACTTTCTTCAAACTACCCCATCTGCACAGTCCCGACTTCACTACAAAAAAATAGTATATTAGTAATGGAATTTCGTCTCTAAAGTTCACGTAGTTAATGCAATTCCCTCTAATTTCGTCTCAAATGTCATTAGTAACGAAAAAAGTGAATTTAGGAATGAAAAAACCTTGTTACAAAATTGATATTTTCTTATTGTGCTTGTTCAGCCCAACCGGCGTCAGCGTCGGGCTTAGAGTGGGGAATCTCTTCCAAATCCAGACCTGGACAAGCGCCAATGGAGCCGAAACTGCAATATTAATAGCGGCGCCAATCTTCGCCTCGGATTTTCGATAATAATTGACGCCGGCTTTGAGCAAGCTCAAGGACCTGTAGATGCCGGCGAGAACCGCGACCTCAGGTTCCTCCTCAGCTGGATCTGGAGCCTTACTGATGGTATTCTTCTGGCTTGTCTTCCGCGATCTCAGGTTCCAGGTCTAGATTTTTGGTTTTTGTAGGCTCAGGCTCCGAACCAACTCGAAAACACAAAATCGATACAAACACACCCAAAAACGCGATGATCACAAGTACACTGGCCTATTACATACGACACACAAGAAATATAACCCCACAAACAAAAAAACAAGGTAAACAGAAGCCTACACGTTAAGAGAGCCCCTTGAGGCCCATATAAATAACACAGGGGGTAAAACACATGCCAAGGAGCTCCACAAATAAGGAGGAAGGCAACCGTCGAAAAGTTGTCGCCGGAAAGTGGTGTGATAGAGAGACGAGAGGAGTGGCTAGAAAGGGCGAGTTGTAGAGAGAAGATTATGAGACTGAAGTGAGGGACGGCGGTCTTTCTCATCTCTATTATGCAGGTAGGTTAAAAGGAATGGACGGCCACGATCTCAACCCTAGATTTGACGGTTGAGATCTAGTTCAATAACAGGGACGCCGGCCATAACCCCCGGGTTGGGTGGTTCGGGTCGTAGGTTCGCTGGCACGGGTGAAGGAGCGGGTCACAGGCCAAGGTAAGTAACTGGATCATGGGCCTGTGTCATATATAGGTCTGGACCAGGTGCACTTTGGCTGCAAGAATGAGTGTGTTTGTGTATTATATGCGATGGATCCATTTGGACAAGAAATCCAACAAACACACTTCTAAAACAGTAGAGAACTTTTGTTTTGGGTTTGCAAATTGATGTTGTTTATTACTTTTTTTTATTTAGGGATTTTGGTCACTTTTGTATGCTAAAAAATTGATATCAAGTTGTATTGATTTCAATTGTGATATAGATATCAAATTTTACTTTTGAAAAAAAAAAAATAATAAAATATATACCTTAAAGAACACCTACAAGAGAGTATAATATCAAAAAAAATTAAATTCCAAAAGAACATGAAATATCAAAAAGGTTTACTTTATGGGAGAAGTCTTGAATAGAAAAGCCACTGCACATGCTCTAACAAAACCCGAATTATTTGAATTTTTAAAATGGCGATGGCAAGCCAAACGTAAAATATGAAACTGTCAATTTTATCTTTTAGAATACGTAATCACTGTCAATATATTAATTATTTATAACATGTAATGACTATCGATTACCGTCAGGCCAATGGCTGCTTTTAGGGTGCTCATATTATAAAACTGTCAACACACTACTTATTTTTCCTATAGCCATAGGATCAGATTTAATGATCCATCCCATGGATATCAATGAACGAGGATCATATTGTAAATTTGAATAGAAATTTTTTTAGTATCACTACCAAAGTAATGGCTATTTGTAGCAATTTTGTAACTGTAACAATTTCTTTGTGACAAATGATATTCTTAGTTATGAAATTTTTTGTGGCAAAAAGTACATCTCTTGGTCAAACTATGAAATTTTTTGTGGTTTTTAATAATAAAAAAAAAATTGATATTCAATTCAATATGAAAGCAGTGTTCCAAAGCCTGATATTTTATTTTTTTTCGAGATTTTATATAATCTTGTAAGCGGCTGGTGGTTACATATTAGTGGTGATTGTTGTTGAATATATTATTATTGGTGCATAATGTATCTTTCAAATTCATATGTTCTTTAGCTTTTGAGGATCTATTGAATCAAATTGATTGTTGTTACATTCTATAAGTGATATTATAAGGAATGCTAAAGTCGAAGTAATGGGATAAAAAGCTTGTTTGCCAAAGTTGTTATAATCTTTTTTAACTAATTGAATATAGATTCGACTCATGGTCATTGTTTGAATAGCATAGGTAACTAAATGAATTTTGGCATTGTCGTTTTTCCATAATTATTGGTTGAAATATTCATATTGCCTAGCATGAAATTTGACATTAAGAAATTAATTATACATGGATATAGGTAACAGTTCAAATAAAGTCTGAATGGCAAATTGATAAACTTCGGCGTAAGGAAGAAAAAATAAAAGAACGTGGGGTAAATTATGGAGTTGACAATGCATTGTTATCTTTGTCTTTAAGTGCCTTAGTTCAAGAAAGTGATAGTATTTGATCGATTTGTGGATCACGGGGATGGTACTCAATTTGGTGCCACAACCCGTACACAAGGAACTATGGCATTACAAGGGAAATGAAAAAGTAAATATTCCTTTTGTGCCAACTGCACCAATGAAAGTTGCGGATAAACTAGTAATATAGTAGTTTCTATAGAAGGATTACACTCTTATAAGTTTTAGTCATGAAATATACATTGTTCTTCATGATAACATTTTTTTTTTTCAATTGTTGTATACAGGTGACATGCTAACAATGGCTAAGATCTTTATCATAGTTGCCACAGTTGGAGACTGTAATTATTCATCCAACAATTGTTGGAGCACGTACTCTTGGTGAGATAGTCCATATTGATCCCATCGAGTGGACGTACAGAGATGTAGGTAATTTATCTTTGAAAGTTTATTTTTTTGTAGTAACTTATACATTTCGTAATTAAATAGCTTACTTATTCATTGCATCTGGTTCGCCACACCTGAGTTCTTCCAATTTTTATCGATGCATGCGCATCAGACCACCATGTATGTATTTTAACTTGGACTGGTGTCTTAGATATTTTCTATATTGGATTGAACATTTTACGTATAACTATGACGTCTTTTGGGCTTACTAGATGATCATTTTGCTCATAAGTATATAATTTTGGTTTGTTTGCTCCTTATGTAGCCCTTCCGTGCATAGTTGAGACAATTGTTAGTGTAACTGATTATGGGATCTCTTAGACAGTGGTTAGATCATTTTTGTTTTATAGGTTTTATGATGGATTTTGTAGGAAATCTGGAAAAAAAATTTTTTTTTATGAGTATTGTCACAAAATAGATATCATTAAAAAAATTGTTACAATTGTATAATTAAGTCGTAACAAAAAGTTATTTTAATGGACAACTGGTTTATTTTTTGTCACGGAAACATGTTAAGAAAACCATTACCAAAAGATAATAGGGATGTTAGAAAATATTTGCAATGTATTATTTGTTACGACTATGCTTTGTTACAAACAAACTTTTATTTTTCGTCACAAACAAGACTGTAACAAAAATGGATATGAAAATATATTGTAATTGTTAGAAAACTTTTGCACCGAATCATTTTTTATAGAAATGATTTGTTACGAAAGAATTCTAGTTTTTGTCACGTACAAAAAATCTTAACAAAAAGTCCTCCCACAGGCGTTGACCACTACTCTTTTGTTACGACATTTGTGGCGACACGGACTTTTTTTTACTCGAGTAAACGTATCGACTAGAATCCGCAACAAAATCGTCACAAATATCTTTTGCCACAAAGAATGAGTATTTGTAGCGAATTTCATTCCGCTAGAAATAGACAATTTTTTGTAGTGCATTGTGCTATCTATCCACATTTTATACATAAGCTATTCATAAGTTCATGATATAATCTTATTGTATGCGGTGTATGTTGACATGTTATCTATAGTATTAAAGTATATATATATTATCTAGGGTAAACTGTCTTTTTAGTCCCGTAACTGAACCCCCTTACCGTTTTAGTCCCGTAAGTGGAGCCTATCACAAACTAGTCCCATAAGTGAAAAATTTTCGTTGTTTTAGTCCTCCGGCACCGGAGACGTCCGTGTGGCTCGCTGGAAGCCACGTGTCCCGCAAAGTCAGCGACACTTGGCGGACATGTGGATTTTGTTTTATTTTTTAATTTGTTTTAATCTTTTTTTCAATTGAATCAAATACAAAAAATTAAAAAAGGCAAATAAAATTAAAAAAAGATTTTAAAAAAAATTTAAAAAAATGAAAAAAAATAATAAAATCCACGTGTCCGCTAGGTGTCGCTGACCTGGCGGACACGTAGCCTCCGGCAAGCCACGCGGGCGTCTCCGGCGCCGGAGGACTAAAACAACATAAAATTTTCACTTATGGGACTAATTTGAGACATGCTCCACTTACGGAACTAAAATGATAAGGAGGTCAATTACGGGACTAAAATGATAAGGAGGTCAATTACGGGACTAAAAAAACAGTTTGCCCTATTATCTATGACAAATTATGATAAAATAAAAATATTTTTGGTACTATTTTAATCTAAGTGAACAATTTAATTATGAAAAAGAATAGATATTATTTTAATTACACACTTAAATAATTTGTTCAACATATACCATATATAATAGAAATATATTAAATCAGCACCCATGCTGAATAAGTTAAAAAGAATTATTTTAGTATATTTTATAAATTATATAATTAATATAATTGTATATATAAATTCTACACTAATCACATGGGTGCTGACCCAATCCAACTCCATTTCCTAATTTTCATCGTATTATATTGTGATATTGGCCATATATACACATTTTATTTGTAATTTCATAATATGTTTCTATTATATATGGTATATGTTTGAACAAATTATTGATAGTACTCCCTTGCTCCACCACCGATTTTTCGACTTATTCTTTTGTGTGTTAATATTTGAATATTAATTATTATATCAAAACATAGTACAAATAAAGAGAAATAATAACAAAAATACTTCTATTATTATCTTATAATAAAAATACAATGACATTTGTATAATAACTTATACTAATATAAAAATATTCTTAATTTTAAAAACGATGACGCAAAATATAAATGAGAAGATTGACGATGGACGGAGGAAGTATTAAATTTTATAAAAATGATCCATGGACAGCTTTTATAAAAGTGAAATATTTTTGGAATTATTTTTAATTTTAAATTTAAATAATACATTTAATTCATGCAAGAAATAAATACTATATTAATTACAAACTTTATCATAGTTAAGAAGATCATATTAATTATAGTTTTAAATTTTATGCAAATATTGACCATATTTCATTGTGCTATCGGCCGTATATACATATGTCATCCGTAATTTAATGGTATATTGTCAAGTGTATGCCGTACATTCCATCCCTCTTCACATTCAGTGGCAACATTGATCCACATTCGAAATCAACTTCGCTAAACTCGTCGGTGTGATTCCGGTGCCCGGCAGTCGTCCCATTTACTGTTCACTTTTAGTTGTAACTTTATTTGTTGTTGGTAGGATATGTTTGTGCGGGTGCCTTATGTGACGCATCCAGACGCCTAATAGATGCTAGCATATGTTTGTGGCTGGGAGGATGTACTTCATGGTTGTGACTATCATTGAAGTGAGTGGCCTTGCATGTGTGGGACTCCAAATTATACTGCAATCTTATCTTGGACATACACCCGGTTCTTGTTTCATGAGTTGCCCTT